AAGTAAAAGCACCCAAATAAATGACTTGAACAAACTATTTGAATAAAACTTTTAAACGTCTAATAAAAGTGATAATCACTTGAATTATAAGTGTAAACGAGTTGTCAGTTATCTGCACTGCACTCCCATTTTTGCCAAACATTAATACATTTCAATACTTTAATACAGATTTCGATACAAACGTTACGTAAGGCTCGCAATGTATTGAAGTCTATGATTGTGTTGTTGTTGTGGTGTTTGCACTGCGACTGCAATACTCTGTCAACACAATTACGACAAGTTTTGAGTTTTCATTTTTCGTGTCTTTTCTTTTTGTTGTTCCCTATGATTGACATTCAATGCTTCCATGTCTACAATACTCGCGCTGCGACTGTACTCCATATGCGTGGTATTACACTATTTGTTATGGTTTTGCCATAGCGTTCGATATTTACCACAATTAATGGAAGTTCCCTTATTAATACGGGAACATTAGGAATTTTCTAATATTTATGAATATTATTGGGGATTCACTGGGGAATATTACATTTATAAAAAGTCGCCAAATTCTCTATAATATTTTATACATGCTAACGTTTATAGTCTATTCACGGTATGATTTAACTTACACGTTTTGCAAAAAGGGGACAGGTAGCCGTCACATACAAATGCATTATTTATGATAATTAAAACTTTTAAACATAAAAAGCATAAAATGCGAGACAAGGCGTACGAGATATGCCGAACATACCTGAGCGGACAGTGGGATAACATCAGCGCCAATGATATGGTGGTTAAGACAATCAGGTATTGAATTGTTTGCAAAGTTTGCAAAACTTTTTTTCAATTAAGGATTTATTCATTACGTGAATGAGTGGTAATATAGCGGCGGTTATAGCAGTCAATTGTATTACTGTTCCCTACCGGACACACACGAACCCATAGATAATGAGCCCCGGGATGTCGTGTATCGGCTGTACGGGGAGGCCGTGGATGGGGACGACTATAAAGTGACGAATTCGTTGATAACGATGTTATTGTCTGAACGCAGATTAGGTCCCAAACTGTACGGTGTGTTCGCCGGCGGACGGCTCGAGGAGTATATCAAAGTTAGTCCCAAATTGTATGAACTCTTGGATAATAGTCTAAAACTTTTTGTGTGAACCCAAAGTCCCGTCCCATGGCGTACCGGGAACTGCGAGACCCGGACTATATGTTACGGATCGCCAAACAGTTGGCGCAAATACATAGCATGGATGTGCCCATCGCTAAGCACCCGCACTGGCTGTTTGACACAATGGACCAGTACTGGGCACAAGTGGTCGCCTATACGCCCGATCCTAACCGCCCACAACTCATACCAAACCCCTCGTTGGAGCGGGAATTGTGTGCATTTGACTACAAATCTGAGTCGCAATGGTTGAGACAACTGCTCAGCACCTGTGGATCACCGGTAGTCTTCTCGCACAACGACCTGTCGGAGGGAAATATACTGATCCCTGAGGACAGCACCGCCTACGAGGACGGTATGGTGTTTATTGACTTTGAGTTCGCCGCTTACAACTACCGGGGCTTTGATTTGGGCGACTATTTCACGGAATACCAGTTCGACTACACGAACCCGGAGTACCCGCACTATTACGCCCACCTCGACGCCTACCCCTCGGATCATGAGAAACGACTGTTTATCAGGGAATACATCCGACACTCGACGCACTTGACTAGTGGTAGGCAGACGGAGGACAGGCTGGTCCGGGAGGCCGACTATTTCGCGTTGGCGTCCCATCTGTTGTGGTGGGTGTGGGGTATCCTTAAGGCCCGTACCTCTCGATTGCGTTACGGATATTGGGTTTGAAATACAAAGTTTTGAAAAGTTTTGTCACTTTTT